GTAATACTTCTTATTAAAGAAACCGGAGATACCTCCCTGATTTGTTTCATACTGAAGTCTGTTGTCAGTGAAAACATGTCCACAAACACAACTGTTTCTGCACCATCATGAGAGTGGCAACAATGATATGATACTCTGTTGTCGACAAGATTAAAGTTGAAAACACACAACGGATGCTAACGTTACTGAAACAGTGGAGATGTTTACGTTTATCCAGGTGGAGAGCGAACTGGACTAAAGTAAAACACACACCTGCAGTGTTGTTTAAGAACAGTTTCCCAGAGAAAATGAACCATGTTAGGCGAAAATGGAACATAACTTGGCAGAACACTGCTATGACAGTCTAAAAGAACCCGTAATGTTCTGTTCTTACCTTAACGCAGTTCATCACTTAGCAAAGAAAAGTCCGTGGCAAGTTTCGTTCATCACTTAGCAAAGAAAAGTCCGTGACAAGTTAAGTTTTACGAGTTCATTAACGCGCCGCGGAGCAACTTCCGCTGTCTTTTTCCAAAATAAAATATTAAAGGGTTCTACAGTAAACACTCCAGTCACACATGTGTTTCAGCTTTGCTTCCGTTTCGACAGCGTCAGTCATGAGCTTGACGCAATTATAGACATTACCACGCTTTAATGACCGTTGAGGGGGCACACGGGGTGGCCAATCAGATTACGATGGGGTCCGTGCCAACATTAGTTTGTGTTAAAGACAATGTATATACATTTTGAAAAGTTCACGCAGATTAATAACATCCACGCAAAACAGCGCGTCTGTGTGAAACGGAGGAATTTCCTCCCCGGCCCCACCCTCCTCCCCCATCATCTCCATCGGTGTCCCCTGTTATAAACGCTCAGCCCAGCCCTTCTGCCTCACACAAAGTGAACCGCAGCTTTCTGAAGGACATCTCTCTACTTTTCCTCACTTGGACCTGATTCTGACTCGTGCTGTCTGATGCACAGCCGGACTCGTTTCCCTAATGTGGAGTTTTAAATGTTGTAAAACTAACATTAGCCGGATTTCGGACTGGAGTTGGGACGCGCTCTGTCCGTGTAGACCGCGTCGGTCTGCGCACCGACATAACTGTCCGGAGTGTTCGTAGTAGAGGGAAGAGTTTTAGGCAAGAAGAGCGAGGCTGCTGTATCAGGAGTGGAAATGGTCCAAAACGTAATTTTGGTGTTTTTTCGCAGGAGACTGAGTCAGAGGCCGGCGGTGGAGGAGCTGGAGAGCCGCAACATCCTGAAGCGTAAGTTCCACTCATTCAGCGGCTCCGATTTACCGTCCTACTGTATTCATCAGAATGTAATCCCATCACTGAGGTTTGGAACAGTATTGATTGTTTGCACCTAATCTTATTATAACACGTTCATCTCTTCTCTTATCATTTACTGATCAAACGTAATATTCGGTATGGAAAGTAAAACTAGGATACCACCTGGAACTTTGTTGTAGAAAATCACATTATTCTGTAAAAACTAACAAACAAACAAAAAACAGACCATACTAGAATTAGATGAAGCATATCTACATTGTCAAAAAGGTTAAAAAAAAAACCTTCAATCAAACAGTAGATCACAATCTACTTACTGGGCCCCCTTTTTTTCCCTAACTAATAAACTAACACATCCCCTCTGTAGGTTGACCTGCACTACAGACTTCACACCACACCTTAGATTAATGTCTTGATTTAATGAAGCTTGTTCCTTTCCCTTAGGTCAAAGGTTCCAGGTTGTGGCATTTTGTTCCGCGAGACTTGCCCTACAGTGTCACAGTAATGGAAATATTGTTAACTATTTACATAAACTGGTCAGTTCTTAGTTGCCGTCTGTCAGAACCAAACAGTTTCTAAACAAAAACTAAAGGATATTGATGGAAATATTTATTTATTTCTGTCACTGAAGTCGACGAATGGCTAGACTTTTTTAGCCTCCAAACCTCAGTCCTGCCGATGCACAACATTGTGGAAATTTTTTTTATATTACATTTTTCGGATCTCTTATTTATTCACAGATTGGTTATATATGTATATATGTATATATATATATTTTTTTTTAATACACAGAAAGAAATGACCAAACAGAACAAGAGGAGAGGAGGGAAATTAAGCAGCGGCTCAACAGAAAGGTGAGCTGGTGCTAAAATTTTATAAACTCTGTCAACCTAAATTTATATTTCCTTCACTTTCAATGGCTGTCGAAGCTTAGCTTTTGTTTCTTGGATAACGTTGATAACTGTCTGCTCACCAGCTGAACCAGCGGCCCACAGTGGATGAGCTGCGGGACAGAAAAATCCTGATTCGTTTCAGTGACTACGTGGAAGTGGCCAAAGCCCAGGATTATGACAGAAGAGCAGACAAACCCTGGACAAGACTTTCTGCTGCGGACAAGGTAGTACCTAAGATGTCTCTGGTGTCGTCACGACTTTCACGTGTCACATGAGGTCTTTGATAATAATAATGAATAAAAACAGCTGCGATTATGTCCAGAATAAATCTCCGGGTGGGAAATGGCTAAAGCAAAATGACAAATAACAAATGAATACAAAAGAAGAGAAGAAGTAAACATCAGCAAAAAAAAAACAAAAAAACTATTACATGCTAACATTAACCTTCTGATTTTTACCCCATTCTCTGTTAGTAAAAACCATTGCCACTGTAGTTCTTACATCATTTTTCAGCCTGAGCTTCATCAGATGATCACTGTTGTATGAAGGACACCATCTGAGCTCATATTTGATGTTGTTTCTGTTCTCAGGCAGCGATACGGAAAGAGCTGAACGAGTTTAAAAGTAATGAGATGGAAGTTCACTCACTGAGCAAACATTTGACCAGGTGAGTGTGTGAGGCCCTGTCTTGTCTTAAGGGTGAGATGCTGAGAACGGTTCAGTTCTGCTGCGTACCATAATTGTTTACCCCTTGGGGTAAAATATTCTGAAGGTCAACATTTTGAAATATCTACTTTAGTTTGAAAACATTCAGTCTAATTGTACCAGTTCCACCACCGTCCATATCCATCATCAGGAGAAGCAGCATGGCAGATATTGTAGAATGTCACACCTGCTTCCTCTCTGCAACACTCCAGAGCGGGGCAGTATCTCTTCCTGCACAAGCAGCAGCAGTGACAGTGGAGTTTCTATGGGAGGCTGTGACAGTTTCCTAAGTGACAGTAACCTCTATTTTGAGCTCCAGTCTGTATCGTTCTATCCCATAGTTCCAAAATTGCCTACATTATGTCTCAGCTCTCCAGAAAAGTGAAAATTGTACAAACGTGGACTGCAGCCGGGAATGGAACATTTCAGTCCTTCCCTGCACCTTAACTGAAATCCTCTCAGCAGTTGTTCTCAGGGAAGAAAGCAATTTGAGTTCTGGTGAATCATCATCAGGATGAACTGCATGACTCCAACAAAGCGTTTTAACATGAAAGTGAATTATCTGTCATTGTGACACAGCACACCACTGCACACACAACGAAATGTGACCTCTACACCACAGCCCATCAGATCCGATACCTACGACCAAATGCTCAAGTTAGCTTTGCGCAACATACTATAAACAGGAACACTATCACCAACGGTAGCTTGCAGCATGCTGGAGGAGAAAAGATTATTGGACTTGAAAAAGTTGTATCGAGTCGTTCTTTATATGTAGTTTTGCAAGCTAGCCTCAAACCTTCAGGTCATGGGTTCCAGCCACAGACATTCATGAATGTTCCGACCATCAGAGTCAATCCAAGAAGCTTACAAAGTCATGTGACTTCACTCTGTGCCTCTTCCAGCGTCTGTCTTCTTAAGTCTTTACCTTACTTCACCTTACCATGTTTTTGCACTGAATTGCAGTTGTTAAACAAATACATATTAATAAACCTCTGCTTTTTGTCTGCGCATTTCTTCTACTTTTGAAGGTTCCATCGGCCTTAGGGAGATTTCTTCTGTGAAGACTTGCTATAACCTGGTTCTTCCATCTCGTGCCCTGGACCACAAGTTTTCTGATGGTGGATTCCCGGTGAACCTCGGAGGCTGTGTCTCTTGACACTGGGCTGCAAATGGACAGTGAATGCATGCAGCAATCTCCACTCGTGCTCAAAGGAACTCCTCCTGTACTCCCTCTCCACCTTGTCAGGTGAAGAATGCAGGATTAGCCATGATCAAGACCAGGTTGTGTTTTTTGTAAACAGACTTTTCTAATGCCATGCAGGATGATTTGTGCATGTCACTGAGTCAAAAAGTCTTGCTCCAGTATCAGTCGCCATGTTCCTGAGCTGTATGTTTCTCTGTGACTCTCTCTGACTGAAGGGTTTCATATGGATATTGTACATGTTCTTCAGCAAGAACCGGACCTGTGATTCAGACGGAAATCCCTTTGTAAGAATTATTTATTGTCTGCACAATACAGGTTTTTGGATTTGTAACAAACTCTGTTGTGTCTTGTTAATTTATGATTAATACCAGTTTTCTGTTAAATTTTAAAATGTGAAAATATTCTTGGGCCACTGGCTCCTCCCACAGGTATTTATATATTTTTATGCCTTCGTGCACACAATTTTGACAGATTTTTATTGCATATCTTTGTGCGGCTTTGTGTGTAAAGTTTTGTAAAATATCTATAGATATATGATCTCAGCCAGGGTAACATAATTAATAAATGCTGAAAGCTGAGAAATCTAAAGAAAAATAAAGCCTTGATTTTTGTGGCATAACAGAAAAATACCCAAAGGATAAATGATTTAAAGTTAGCAATAATATTTTGTTTTTTTAGTGAAGCTTGTCATAAAAGATTGATAAAGGATTTTAAAATATGCTAGTTTTTCGAAAAATAAATGTGCTAGCCAAAACCTTATTAGCAAAACTTATTATTATTTGATGAAAAAAGTGGGTGCAGAAAACAGGGTAAAGTATTCGCAGGCATTACAACTTTGCAGAGTAGTGTACATTATAGGAATACTAATATATGAATACTAAATTAAATTTAAAGTCAGATAAGAAAAATATGAACTTTTCTGAAGTATATTTAAAAATGTCATCTATGAGACAGAATATTCATGATAAAGCCTGACTCAGGATCAAAATTATTTTAATTTTGATTAATTTGCAGCCTAATTGCAAAGGTATTAAAGTTGCATAACATCAGGCTGGGATTCGTTAATAACACAAACAGTGGTGTCTTTGTGCTTCACATTCTTCTGTAATAAATAAGTGAAGAATCAGCAGAAAAAAACGATAATCAGATTAGTGGGTTAAAGAGATCTGCAGAAACACAAACTGCTTTTAAGATGTCATGTAATACACAGTTTATCCAATCATTACATCACATTTATTTTCTAATTAACCTCATAAACTAATACTGTAAAGATATTTGCAGGATATTATCGAGTCAATCCCTAAAGCGACCACTAGGGTTGCTCCATTACAGTGGTTTTCAGACTGAGGAATCAACTCACAATGGAACCACCACCACCATCATTCATGTGCAATCAATTATGTGTGACTCTTAAGTTTTCTATACTATGTTAAAATAAGGCCAATGTTTCCACTCATTTCTAAAACAGCATCATCACAGGTCCTACTGTGACGCCATCTTATGTAAGAATCAGCTACAAATGCAAAATGACAGCCCTTAATATACATGAGCAGAGTCGATGAGCATGTCCGGATGATTTGACTTGACACACACATCACAGCATGGTGTGGCTCTGCCTCAGAGCTCAGCTATTATTAACATGCCACATAAAAAGAGTTGACATTGAATAAGTCATGGTCTGTGGATTCAACCCTAACTACTGTACACACACCAAGTACTACACAAAGCCATTTCTTAGCTGAATTTGATCAGTTTCATGTCACATATTTCTACAGAATAGGAAAGGTAAAATCACACAATTTAATTTATTTGTTTACTCTTAACCAGTGGCTTCAGTTTAAGTATTTAATAAATAAATAGTTTTTACTAAGGATAATTGTTGAAACAAAGCCAGGATAGTTTGGTTAAATTAGTTTATGTGTGGCAGATTTACAGTAAAACTTAACAAACATTCTCAACCACACCAATGACTACAGGTTCTTATGAATGCTATTGTTCAATTCATTTAACTTACTTCACTTAAAACATATTTAATAATTAATGTAAAAAATTCTAATATCAATTGTAACATTATCATTATTGCTGTTATTATTATTTATTTAATATTACATTTAAAGAACGTGCATAAAACAAACGAATGCTTCCATTTCAAAACTCAGGTCTCTACCGCCATCTAGTGTACTAAAACGGAACTCTACTTTCTCGATGTCGAAGGACAAATATTTTCAGACACTCACTGGACTGACGTCCTTTGAAATGTTCTTATGATCCTTACTTCAAAACTGATAAAAGTTACAGCAGTGATCTGAAACTGTAAATAGTTTATAAAATCTGTGGGATGTAGAAGAGCATCAAATCTACTGGAGACTTACAGATTTACTAAAACAGAATAGGTTTAGATAGTGTGAAACAAAACAACTGCATTGTTTGCCTGCACGTGTTTACATTGAATGACTTATAAACAGTGAAGGACAAGGCTGTTTCACTGCTCTCCTTCTCTCCTCTCAACACTTGGCTAAAAGGCCTCTGAAAACACTACACAGACTACAGTTTATGCAACAACAGGACGAGGAGTCCTACACTGTTGTGAAGCCAAGGTTGGATACACAGGCACACCCAGAACCACTGAACAACACAAATTACATTTCTTTTATGATTTTGGTTCGGCGTCCAGGAACAGTCACACGGCCAAGGACGAGCTGGCTCTGCTGTTCATGATCTTGGAGCTGTAGTTTCCTCCCCACTGCACTCTTATTACTCAGCACAAATAGCAGCTTTTTGCTGCAAAAGACTAACTGAAGGGTGCTGTACAATTTTTAAGCCCTTTAACTTTTACTGATGGTTTCTGGAATTGTTTTACCCTCATGGTAACGCCACACAATTTGTTACCATCTTACATCAAACCTCATTTTTAACACTATGAGGTCAGATGTAGGTTAAATGTTTGTCTTCGTAAACTTCCACTGCAGTCTCACAATATAACCCCTTTCAATGGCAACAAGGCTTTTTAATACCCGACCCTTGTCTTTCTCCTTGCGAGTTATGTTAGTGTGAACACTCGCAATAGTCAAAATGAACCTGATGGTTTTCATTAATCTGATTTTTTTTTTTAAATCACAACAGACAGGATTGGATTTAACCTCACTGCCTCTGATGTCTAACACTGATTTTAGCTGAATGTCTATTTTCTGTTCAGGAACAGATAACAGGATATTAATGAATGCAACTGGAAGCATTTGACAAAATAACTACTGTACAGTTACTCACCAGAAGACGTTCAAAGCAGAACACCACAGAACTACAGGGCTATTTTTAGCCAATCAGTAGTGTTGTCATACTGGCCTGCTGCTGCTGCTGGTCACTTCTTCTGTCCACTGCACCTCGGGCCCCTGCAGAAGCAGTGCAGTGTGGAGAGTTCAGATATGTCTGCTATAATATGCATTTCTTAAATTCAGTGAACACTAAATGCATTCTTTATATCAGTGATTCTCAACCACTGTGTCGTGGCACACTAGTGTGCCGTGGAAAATTATTCAATTTACTTGGTCCCAAAACTATTATTTATTGCATATAATTTTCTTTGCTTGTCAATGTGACAGGCACAGTAATTAAATCTTCTTCCGCTAGGGGGCAGCAGTTAGTTATTAAAACCAAAACAAATCATCATAGCTGTTGAAGATTTTTGTCTTTTTCTTCAATTCCTGCCAGTATATCAGTGTTGTCTTCAACTAAACAGGAGTGCATGTGTAGTACATTTAAACTTGAATATTATTATATTTCATTACATATACTTCTTGTGAGATCTTTGGTTGGTGGAGCACCGTGGGGGTTTTCATGCTAATGTATACTGTATGGTGTCGCTCAAAAAAGGTTGGGAAACCATATTTTATACTATGGAGAAAAAAGGTTGGAAATATAAAACAACTGGGTACTAGCATACTACATTAATAGCATAAAAAGACTCAAGACACTGCAGAGTGGACCCTTAAATTATGATTCATTTTCTCAGCTATGTTGGAAACAGGCTGGAACATCTGTAAAGAGTTGTCCTCACACACACTGTACTCTGCTTGCACTGTCACCTTGTTGCTGTGACTGGACAGTTTGTAACTGTTGTTTGGTTGCAGTTAACACATTCATTGACAACATACAGGGATACAGGGTTCTGTTTTCAGACATACTGTAGTAAAACATCAAGCTGAGTCAGATGTGACGTTGGCTCAGGACAGGTAAACAGTCTGATGGATTAGTAGCGACTGTCTCCTCTACTTGGCAGTAGAGTGTTTGTTTGGTGACACACTGGTGGCACAGCAGCAGCATTAGTAGCACCAGCAGCAGCAGGTGTTGGTGTCCTGGTACCATGGGGGAGGAGAAGCTCCACACTTCATCCAGAGAGTCGTCCAGGCTGATCTGCTTCCAGGTGTTGCCTTCGTACCTGCTAGCAGGGCTTGGAATGGTTACAGCTGGCATGCTACTGGACCAGGCACAGGTCAGTCACACAGTCTTCATCCTAAAATAATCTGCATTAAAAATGTACATTTGTCTCCCTGCCTGCATGTACAAGGATCAAACGTCCAAAAACTGTTTCTAAAGTTTATGCTGTAAGAACTACATAAAGGCGAAGTATTTAAGACAAAGGTAATTAATGTTGTGAATAATGAATAATATATGAATGATTTTTACGAGGTAAAAAATAACCATTGTCCGAGAGAGCTAAGCAAAATGTGAGGAAATATGTGTAAGTTAGAAATAGGATACCTAGAGTACGGCAAAATACCTGTGACTAAGAAGAACAAATGTAGAAAATGAGCTTTAAAAAACTGGAAACTGGACAAATGCCTTTAACATCTCTGCATGTTTATCTGAGGTGAATGGACTCAACAATATTAAGAGGTCACTGTGCCCTGTAGGCAAATGGAGTGGCCTTGTCCCCTGGAAATAAACCAGTTGGTCAGTTACTTCAAACTAAATTCCAGAAATGTTGCATCACTTTCTAAACATGCAATTAAGATGTGATAAAAACGTAAAAGAATTAAAACAAAATCCAAAAATGCACTCGATCCAGTATTATTTAGTCAAGTAAAGAATTTACATGTGGTCACTGACCTGAGTTGAACATAAAGTATTTACAGACTAATTGTGAACACAGATAGTTGTCCACACTGAAGGATTATTGCCAAAAAACAAACACAAAATGACAACAACATATACAAACAGCTACTATAACTATAGAAAGACATCTGTGTGAAGTCCAGTCACTTGTAATACTTTTTCTTTAATGCCGCACACCTGACTTTTGAGTGTACTTGGAGCCAATGGTTTATCTGCTGTGCTGGGTGTCTATAAATAGAACAGCAAAGGACAGAAAGGGACAAAACAGTGACGTCACTGCCGTACTTTATGCTAAAAAGGTTTTAGGTCACATTAGCTGAAGAATAAAGGAGATACAGTCATCATAAACAACAGCAGCACCAGCAGCAGCAGCAGCAACAGCAGTGTGTGACAGATACAGCACCTGCTGCTGCTGCTCAGAGTGCGTCACACACTGAGTAGAGAAATCGAGGAGCAGAGAGAAGGGAGCATGATGAGAGTGGAGGACAGGACTGCATCGCCCTCTGAATATCCATGACAGAGAAACCAGGAGGGGAGAGAACCTGGGACCTGAGTCAGTCCGATCCCTCCGTCCACACGCACATTTACGGCTTCAACAGCCGTCACAACTCCAATGTCAACCTCTAACCACAGTGCTGAAGAGAAAGAGAAGAAGACAAAGAATGAGGGGGAAGAGGAAAAGGGAATGTGGCATCACAGAAGGGCTGAGAAGAAGCTGCTGGCCTTCTGGACCACCCTGTCTACCAGGACCTGGAACGGGACCTTCTTTAGGAGGCCCAGAGAAAGGGCAAGGGTCCAGCGCTCCATCTCAGCAGTCCGGCTGCTGAAAAGTGATGCTTAAAAGTGTGCTTGTGCTTGTGTGTGTGTGTGTTAATGTGTGTGTGAAGGTCTGTCAGTAGCAGAGCATCAGAAGAGGCTTCACAGACCTGCTGTCAAGTGGACCCTTGTCTGTGAGTGAGTGTGTGTGTGCGTTTGTGTGAAGTGGCCAGCAACAGCTTCCCCTGACGAATTTCACCACCAAGGACAACAACAACTGGCTCCTGACTTCATCTTTTCATCACTGGTTTGTGGCAGAACAACAGCTTTAAGCAAAGAAATTCACTCGTGAGAGGCTGGAGTGAAGACACGTCTGAATCCTTTAAGATCTTCCTCAGATCAGCTTGACCTTCCCAAATTCAACCTTGCAGACAGTAATGGGTTAACAAGAATCAGTCATGGTGGTCACCCACCTGGCTCTGGAGCTGCGTTTCCAGGGGCAGAAGCTGAGGGGATTCCGCTGCAGACTGACCCGCTCAGCTCATGGCTTCCTGCCGGAGAACTCCTGGATGATTGCAGCCCAGGTCCTGCTGCCGTACCTGGTGTCCGGCCTGGGTATGGTGGCAGCAGGCATCCTCATGGACACAGTGCAAGTATGACAAACAATCAAATGAAATAGTCTGTGTTAACAGCTAAGGCTAGTTAGATGGTTTCCATCATTTCATTTTTGTTGCCAGTTTTTAAAATAATGACAAATGTCTTTTCTTTTTTAACTGATATTTTTGGCCACATTTGAAAGCATTTCTGTGGCAACCTCATTGATTTTGACTATTTTTCAACACTTTCTGGTTCAAAACAAATGTTTACTCACCTTCAGCTACATTTATTATTAACCTGAATTGCTCTTTTATAGGCCTTTCTAAGCTAATGTGTTGCCATACAAGATGTATTTTGCTTAATACAGTTTTTCACTGATGTGTTTTAGGTAAGACAACACATAGCTATTTATTTATATACATATATATATATATACCATATAATTTTGGTTAATTATCATCTATTTATCTGCTATATTTTAGTTTCTGTTCTTTTTTTCTTTTGTTGTTGTTGTTCTGGCATACCTAGCTGTCGTTGTTAGTGCTTTAAAGATTTGCCTAATTTAGCAGATTCTGGGCTAACTAGAGCTAGTTATTTTTGGCAAAGTTTTAGGTCCAAAGGTCAACCTTCAGTAAGATTCGTCACACAAAGTAAGAATTTTGGTTAGTATTAAAACATTAGCAATTCTTGTATTGATATTACTAGTTGACATATTTATACATTTTCAGAACTGATGACCTATAAAAGTCCGATTCAATAGAAAGCAAATAGAATAGTAGTCTGTAGGTTTACTTATAATTCTTTAAGTTTTGTAGACGCGTGTGTCGTTGACAGATGCTTCGTTAGATTAGAGTTGCTCGTATTGGACGTGGACCAAGACTTCGCTGCGGGACATAATGTACACTTCACATAAACATTCTTGCCTTTTACCTGTAGGAGACTGAAGTATTGTCTTTATTTCAATTTTTAAAACGCCAACTTTTCCTCGCCGTTGTTGCCGCTTATCTCTGCTAGTTCAGGTGTGCGAGCCGGCTGCGTGTGTATGATTTGGTTAAAACACTGCCTCTGATTGGCTTACCACGAAAGCTTACTCTGCCTTAGCCAATCATCATCAGGTATGCTGTTATCTCATCCTTCCTTTCGCCACAAAAACAGCGCTTCTGTTTAATTGTCAGTAACGGTTAACGGCGTTGTAACGATAATTAAATAGTTGGATTGCCTGTTACTGACACTAACTTTATTAACTTTATCTAAGCATTTCTGTTCTAACTTTAGAAATAATCTTTGTTGTCATATTTAGATAGGCATGTATTGATAAGTGCTACTACTACTGCTACTTGATAATGGGCTATTAGTGCTTTCTGCTATTTATATCTTATCTATTTGCCTTTTTTAGCTAACATTTCTCTTGACAGCAGTTGGTGCTGTATGTTTAGCTCTTGAAAACAAATGAAGAGCTGTAGAATAAAAGAGCAAATCTTAATTATAGAGGACAATTGTATTGTTGCAATAAAAAGGGCCTTCAATTTGTAAACTTGCTTTCTGGGTTAAAGTAGGCATACATTTTGACTTGTCTGGATCATCATCATTTACTGACAAAAAAGGTTTATTCAATGACATCCAGATTAAACATAACTTAAACCACTGCAAAGTTACAGGCCCATATATATTTACAGTACTTATAGTACATATGGGCCAGATGAAGATCACATCTGTTTCGTCTGGGCCACTTCCTTATCCTCATGCTATTTTTGTTATTTATGTGACTGATCCTTCTGTGTGTCTTACCGTGAATGTGTAATAAATGCAGAGGTTTTCTTGTTTTTCAGCACTGGGATGTGTTCAGGGAGCTTTCTGAGGTTTTTATCCTGGTGCCAGCACTGGTGGGACTGAAGGGGAATCTTGAGATGACACTGGCATCCAGACTGTCAACAGCAGTGAGTGATAAAACACAGATCACATGTACAGAGAGAGGAATAAGAAGGTATTATGAAAAAGGAATCAGAAACATTAACAGTAATGGTAACACACAGCAGACAGCAAAAACCCAACTGTGGCCACAACATGGCTACTGCATCTAAAAATGACTTTTGAGATTTTTGTAAAGCCACGACAACATTTTTAGACTTATGAACTTTGTCTTCATGAGACAGTAAGCACATTTCCAGTCAATGTTGGAATGTGAAACTGAAAAAATATGAATTTTTACCATTGTATTCTACTGTAAATAAACCCATGCATGGATATGCAGCCCAGGCTCATGTGGACAGATCTGTTCTTAGCACATACTGTATGTAAGCACTTGGCCTAAGACTGAAGAGATTTTAAAAAGAGTTGTCAAAGAGTATAACATGTGGTATGTGGATGAATATAATATGAATAATGAATTCCTTAAGCTTTTCTGTGAACCCGGCGATCATTCTGACTGATAACATGTGAGTGAAGAGAACAAATATAGAAAATATGTAATACAAATACAATATATGCAATATTAAAGATATTACACAATATAAAGACATACAGTATATTGTGGAGTTAAATCCAACCCCAAATATTACACACTGCACCTTTAAATTGAAAAAGAAGTAGTATAATAATAAAAAGTGAACATATTTGAACTCCTGTTCAATGTGATTGTGAACTGGTTCTGTGTGCGCCCACAGGCCAACACTGGACAAATGGATGAGGCTCAGCAGCAGTGGATGATGGTGCTGTGTAACATGGCTCTCATTCAGGTGACACCTGAGTGCTGATGACACATTGTCGGAGAATGAAACTCTGATTTGAACTTGAAGATATTTACATGTTGCTGTAGAGGACGTCTAAGGGTCCACTGTCCTCCGTCCTCAGGTGCAGGCCACAGTTGTAGGTCTCTTGGCGGCGGTAGCAGCAGTTGGTCTTGGAGGTCTGATCCGAGGGAGAGTGGATGTTACAGAAGCTGCTATTCTGTGTGCCAGCAGCATCACCACAGCCTTCATCGCTGCCCTTTCACTGGGTAGGACTTAAGTAGACGGAGGTCTGATAATACAGTAGAAGAATTTGACGTCTAATCCCAGTGTCCATGTCCTCTCAGGTTTGGTGATGGTGGCTGTGATTATTGGCTCCAGGAGAGTTGGTATAAACCCTGATAACGTGGCCACGCCCATAGCTGCCAGCCTTGGTGACCTCATCACTCTGTCTGTGCTCGCTGGAGTCAGTAGTCTTTTCTTCTGTTATAAAGGTGAGAGGTCAAGGGATCACACCAAGAAGAGGAAACTATTTCTATGTGGAGACTGTAGCCAACACGAGACAGACGTTTTTCTACAGGGCTTCCCTTTGTAGATGGACTGTTGTCTAGACCCCCACTTTTCCTCTCTCCAACTCTGACATTTACAGCTTTCCCTTTAAAATGCCATTCAATTTCATTTTATTGAACACTGTCATTCCATTAAAGTATTTATTTATATTGCAATTCTCATTGAATAAGAGAAATAAAATCCCATTATTTCTCAGCAGCTGCTGTACGTGTTTGATTAGTGCTGCAGATCCTATCAGGTTGTTGCTGTAGTCATGTCAATCTGAGCTCTTTTCAAAGTCCAGATTGATTTGTAATTTAAATTAATAAAAGAGAAAACACACATACAGAGAGAGCAGAGGAATCTCAAATTCAGAAATAAATTCCCAGATTATCTGATTCCTGATTGGTGTCGTTCCACTGTAAACTGTTGAATCCCTGTCTGTATCAATATGGAGACGTTACAGCTGTTATGAATCCCTGTCTGTATCAATATGGAGACTTTTAACAACAGCTGTATCTGCCCCAGATGTTCAGCAGTGCTGGACAGTCTTGGAAATGTCATGGTGGCGTTTCGTCAAATCTCATTTTGGTCGTTTTGGTTCTAGTTCTAAGCCCATTTCATGCGTGGTTTGCCAACACCTGTCAGTTGACCAGCAGTGGTTTAGGCCAGAATGACTCATTTGGAAAACATTTTAAATCTCACTTATTGTTTTAATTATTAATTGACATTTTGTTCTGTGCAACATTCTCGTGCAGACTTGTGGTACTTACCCCTCGTGGTGTGTGGTTTCTGGCTGCTTCTCGTCCCAGTCTGGGTCATCATCGCCTGTCGCTGTCCTTCTCTTCGTGAAGTCCTGAAGTCCGGTTGGCAGCCGGTCATTCTGGCCATGTCCATCAGCAGGTGACTGGAAGACCACCAGCTGACAGCTGCCTCTTTTTACTGACACTGTCTTATCTGCTGAACTCTGCCTTCTCCTAGTGTTGGTGGTCTGATTCTGGACAAAACTGTGAGCAACCCAAACTTTGAAGGTATGGCGGTGTTCACGCCAGTCATTAATGGTGAGTAAAAGGAATGTAAGGCAGTTCTTCTGCCCGTCACTGTGGTGGAGACAAATAAAGCAAATATTTGTAGGACAGAAATAACAGCTTTCAGAACAATGAAATGAAATTGGATTATTCTCCACTGTACACCTGACGTGCAGTGACACATTGGTGTCCTGGTTGGGAAAATGATCAAAATGATCCACAGGTTGGGAACCCTCAATTAGATGATATACTGTATGCCTTGAGTACAGTACATATCGTCATATACTGTAGATGTTTCACTGGTGAGACTTCTACAAGAGAACAACCAAAAACAGAAGCAAACTAAATAGAGCAGTAACACTAGTCTTTACATGAACCACAAGCCTGATCAGAATTCTAACTATGCTTCCACAAGCGCGTCTCTGCCAAACGAGTACGAGAAGTGATTTGCATTCCAACTTCCTCCCGCCTCTCACTGTGTATCAGGGAAAAAAACCCACACGATCCATGTGCTTCCCTGTCCAGGGAGTGTGTAGAAGGGTAGAATTCATTTAACAGTTTAAGAAGGGAAACTGTCTGCATTCTCTGGTAGCAGCTCAGTCAAAAGGTTAGTTCATGGATATCAGTTCTGTTCACATCTGACTGTGTCCGTCTCGTGTGCAGGTGTAGGGGGTAATCTGGTGGCAGTCCAGGCCAGCAGGATGTCCACCTACCTCCACTACTGGAGTGCTCCTGGTGCACTTCCCATGAAAAAGAATGTCATCTGCCCTGGACCCTGTTCTACTTTCTGCTCTTCAGGTCAGACATAAACACAGCATTTTTAAAAATGTATTTTATTTTTCAGTACTCCATTATTCCCCTTGTCAAAACAACTTACTGCATTTACCCATTGGGGAACAAGCAAGTAGTAGGAGCAGTAGGAGTACTGCAGTTTTTTTAATGTGCATCTAAAGCGTGTGCTTGCTGAATATAATGTTAAATAATGTTATAATGTTATTACTCTGAGGCAGGTATGGACAAACTAAGGCTCTGGGCCAGATGTGGCCCGTTTAGCTTTTTAATTTATATAATTGGTTTATATTGTGATTATACTTCTGTCTTTTCCCTGCAATGTCCACATTTTCCCTATAGATGGTGTGCAGAAGGCCAAAAGCATTTTAGAATTTTAGCCTTTCTGCAAACCTACTTTGTCCAGTTGCTTTCAATGTAACTATTATTAGGATTAAATGACCTGGATGACTGAGAACCTACACAGACAACTATAGTTAAAGTAAACAAGTTCGTTTTTTTGTTGTCTTGACACAGACGTGAACTCCGTGTCAGCCAGAGTCCTGCTCTCTCTTGTTGTGCCAGGTCACCTCCTCTTCTTATACACCATCCACCTTCTGCACGGAGGACACACCGCCATGACGGCCACCTTCATCGTCTGCTATCTGTGTGCTGCTGTTGTCCAGGTCACACGTCCACTGAACTCAGTCTCATTTGATTGGGATAAACAGTAGAGATTCAATAGTCAATATATAGTTGCATCATCTCTTTAATATGAACATCACCCGTGTACACTGACATCTTACTGTTTGTGAGTTCCACAAAGCTCTGACGGTAAAGTACACTAACTACAGTATGAACATGAGTGAAAGTATGAATGCCTTCTGTAAAATATTACTTCGGTAAAAGTTGAAATATTCATTTTAAACTTCCAGTTGGGTAGAAGTCCCAGGAAAAGAACACGTCTGGTCAGCCTAGCGAGCTATGTTAGCACATTGCTGCTAGTCAACTAATTTGGGCGAACATCCAATGTGGGCAATATAGGTTAAATTTAAAATAATTCAGCCGCTGGTGATCAAAACTACCACAATAAAAACATCTCAATGTTTTTCTTAAAATGGAGGGTGAATTATTGAAAGAGGAAACTGTATTATGTTTAAACAGGCAGAGAATAAAAATAAAATAAAAGTAGTCTTCATTTCCTTCCAATTCAAAAAGTTCAACCAAATAATGGATGGAAAGTAATGGAATGAAAATTATGAATTTTTCATAAGTCTCACCAATAGGAGAAAAACTTGAGTGAAGTACAGACACATTCATGTGTTTCCCTGCAGGTGCTGATTTTGCTCTACGTAGCACGGCTGATGGTGTTCTGGCTCTGGAGACGAGGACTGGATCCAGACAACTTCTCCATCCCTTACCTCACAGCTCTGGGCGACCTGCTGGGCACGGGATTCTTGGCAGTGTGTTTCAGAGTGATCCAGATGTTGACCTCAGCAGAAAGTGGACTTTGACAGAAATATATTTTCCACATATACTTTTTTCCATTCTCTATTTGTAAGTGGTCCTGGAAGTGCGCTGTAAACTCCTGCAGAGACAGTGGAGCGGATAAAGAAAAAAAAATCAATTCCACTAACGGTAGTCTGCTGTTCACACTGAAAACATTGGAGATTATGAGCAGACCAGAAACCTGCACCTTAAATCAGACAAAGTTAAAAAACGATGCATTTGTTTTATACCGGTCACAAGCACTACACTCAGTTTTCAACTAACATTTTAATTCTAACAATATTTATTACCCAGTCACTATCACGTTACATTTTATTCGTTCGTCCAAACCTATCTGATCAGAGACATACGACACATCTGTTAGCATTTAGCTTTTGTCACAAATATTTCTCCTGCATTCATATCCTGAAAACATTGGGACACCTTGATAACAGAGCACACATTCGCTCTCTGGCAGATTTTGGACAGACACCAAGGCTGGAGTTTTATTTTAACCTTTGGCTCACTTCAAGCAGATGATTTAAGGAGGCAAAGAGCTTTGAGGGCAAAGACCAACACTTTTTCTTGTCCAACTTAATTTGTCTCTCCTTGGACTTAGATGTTTTGCCAAAGGACACATTGTACTCGCAGTGGACAGCAAGGTCTGGGATCAAACCTGAACGACCAGGTTCCAATCAAAATGTGGAAATGTGGGACATGAGGTCACAGAATGTTATCAAATCTGGATTGCCTTAGTTAAAATAATACTTTTTTAACATTAGTGTCATTTTTATGATTACATTACAGATACAGATCTGGGTTTTAACACAGTGTTTTATTGATGCTAACAGGCTCACCTCAGTTAGCACAGGTTGATGAGGGATCAGGAAACAACAGGCAAGGACCGTAGTCAGACACAGAAGGCCAAGGTCAGGTCAAAATCAGAGAAGTGGTCAGGAAACAAGTGCTGGTCAGTCTCCATGTGAGTGATAACAATCTAACAGGATGAAAAGAGTGGAGCTGTATATATACTGGGTGGAGCAGGTGGAAGAAGGTGCTGATGAGGGGGCGTGGCTGCAGGAGTGACGGAGCACAGGTGGAAGTTTCCACTGCAGAGGAGCAGACTGTGTTAGAACAACCTGACTAGAGGTTATCTTTTGTTTTTGTAGTTCTCTCTCTTTCTGTCTTCTTTCATCTCAGATCTCAGGCAGCTGGATTTTTGTTTTCTCTCGTTCCGTGATGGTTGTTATTCTGGGTAGCCAAATTGTCTCCTTTCAACAATGGGTTGCAGCAGCCTGTATTTAGTTTCCAGAATTGACCAAAAATGTCCTTCATCTCGCCAATGTTGGGTTTACAATATTATTAGAGAGCTAAAAATAACTTCAAAATGTATTTGCTAACGCTGACTCAATATTCTGGGAACTGAATGTAGAATTTTCTCCTTTAGGGACTCAGGCCCAGCAGTCTGACACAACTCAAACTGTTTATTTTCTGACATGCACTAATCCAAGAGTGACTTGTTGATTCTACTGGGCTGCATTATGATATGTGTGTGTATTATTAAAGGTGACGTGATGTGTCTTTTATGTAGTTACTGGGGAAAGCAGAGCAGTCTGTCACGGCCGGGTTGAGACAGATGTTTGTGAAGTCAGCCTCCCTAATCCCCCACATCGACATCAGCGACCAAAAGGAAGAGGAAATGCAGCTTGAGTCATGACCAGGAAATTCTCTCTGACAGAGTGAAGCCTGTGGCAGCCAATGAAGAAAGTGGGCTTTGTGTTCTGTGCCACATTTGTCAGTTGGTCACAAGGGGGAATGTGACCTACTGTAAAGCTGCACTGCTCATGGTTAGGTCGTAAAAATAAAATACTATCATATGACCGATAAAGAACAATAATAATACAGTTTTACAAGATATAAATATTATTTTCTCTGTATTTATTTTGTTACCACTGAGTGACCAAATGACATGTCCCACATTGTCCCTCATAAACATTTGTCTCCCATTTATTTGTTTGAAACCTGGTCATTTAGGTTCAACCTCAGCCTCAGTTTACTGCTAACCCCAAGACAGGGGGAAGTCTATGTATTATTATTAAACTTTTCTGCCACTTTTTAACCTTCACGTCCCTCCCTACCGCACTCAAACAATCGTTGATAGAGATTTAATTGACTGGGATTTGATCGATGTAACTCACACCCTAAAAGAACCCAAGCTCTACACTCAAATTAAGAATTTTCTGAGACTTTATTGCTTCAAGTTAACTCGATGGCATTCAATTTAGTAGAAAAATCTGTTTTCATCCATCCCTGCTGGCAGCCACTTGACATAGCACAGATGTCCACTCCGCCGACCTTACAGTGGGCCTGACCAATGTGAACTTCATTGATTGTGAGACTCTAGTTTTGACTGTTAGGTGGGGCATATACTGGCAACTCACTGGTAGAACTTTGAAATAGAACAAACCATAGAAATATCAGCTAAGTTGCTGGAGTCTGTAAAAAACTCTCTGTAATTGATGTTTTCCTGCACGTATTGCGGTACATGTTGACATGTTGTCTGTGTATACATGTTACTTGCTGTGACTCTGTTGGAACGTTTCACCATTGCTTGTGTGAATTAAATAAACATAAAAACCTAGGGTTCGTTTTTTTCTTCTTCTACCACATTTTCATCAATCACTTCTGCAACAACCATCATAAAAAGACAGGTGTAATACCAGGATGTTCTACCATTGCTGCTCTACTCTCAGTTGATTTCATGTTGGTATTCAAAATGAGGCACACGGTCTTAAATGTAACTAAGGTGTAATATCAAAACAATGACAAGACTGACTTGCTCTTAGCCATTTATTCAAAATTTCAAGAGAACTAAAACACCTATTTTGGTTTGGATGACACTGCAGCCATTAATAATAAATACAGAGAGAATCACACAGAAACAAATGAATTTAACAAGAAACTAAAACAGTCACAGTTGCATTTTTTTTTTTTTAAATCTGCTGGCCCACATTTAAAGGCACCCACGTACATCTTGTTTCCAACCCTCTTCTGCTACTGGGCTTTGTAAATAATAGACTCATATTGTGCAAAATACACATTCGGAAACAACAGACAAGAAGAGAAGTTACAGTTTATGTAACCAGAGACATGTCCTCACATCCAGAGAGAATGGCTGCCATTTTAAATCAAATTTAAACATTTTTTGTGAACAAACAAAAAAACCAAACACACAGATTCCTTCTTGCATGAAATTCTTGTGATTTTTTTTGCTACAGTTTTTTTAATGCATCTGGTTAGTTGTATGCTAAAGCAGTGTTAGCACAGGCACAGAGGCATCATTACCTTGTGAGCAACACTGGTGAGAAAGCAGCACATTCAAGGTTCTGTAGAACCCAGAAGGAAACACTTCCCACTGTTGTGTCTTTAAAGGTAGTATTTTGATGACGTAACTCTTGGGGATGACTTGATACAACATTTTCATGTCCCATACTGAGAGTGATACTTTGACCAATAGTATCAGATCGAGCCATCTAATAATTGCTTCTGTTAGGTGAAAAGTTGTAGCACGGTGATGTATAGGCACAACAGGTTCGCTAGTTGGTTTTCAATGAACCAGAAGACGTTTGAAGACAAATCCTGTATTTTCTGGTCTAGTGTTTTGCTTAAATAGTTTGTTAATGAAGGTTAGCAGTCAGGTTCCTCTTGTGCCAGCACAGAGAACGAAATAGAGAGCAAGAAACATCATGGTATACAGTATTAAAACATTCAGTAGAACCTGGAACCTGCCCATCTCCAGATGCTAACGTGCACATTAGTCGGCTCAAGAGGGCTTTTTTTTTTTTCTCGCTTGCCACCTGCAAAATATCAACTGCCGTTAATGTGTCTTTCAACCAATGCACTAAGACTAGAACAACACTCGGCCCCTGCTGGAAATGACCTTTGAACTTTGAATAAAATGTAAAGACTTTATCAGAGACAGTGATGGATAATCACATGATCACAGTTCAAGTTGAAAACATACAAACAGCCTTCATTAGGCTTGTATCATGTTGAGGAAACCCTCATCCCCGGTGCACGTGCTCCTGGACTTGCTGTTGATGTCACTGAAACAGATCCTCAGCTTTTTGGCGCTGCTGTCAGTCATAAGGCCAAAATCATTTAAAGGCTTTTAGTCTGGAAGATGAGTCTGTGGATGGTGGATATTCCTGCCTCATCTAAACTTCAGATAGGCTGGTATGGAATAGTTGAAGAGTAAGAAGTCCATGCGATAGAGATTGTACAGTTTCTTTTGATAAAACGGGCTGATGTTCTGGAAGAAACTGGCGGCCATGTCTCCTGTAGTCCGCGTGCTTTTCGACGATGTCGGGAAGCTGACCTTCTCTTTCACTCCAGCCAGCTGCAGCACGTAGCTGGAGTCCTGTTCTAGTGTCTCATACTTGCCCACCACGTCGTAGTGGATGAGACAGGGGTGGCACAGCGAGTGAACCCGCTCCCAGTGCTCGTTGAAGGGCTCCTCTTGCTGCGTCGCAGGGTCCACGAGATAATACACAAACTCTTCGAAGGAGACGTCGTCTCCTCTTTCCAGAGCCTCCGGCTGGGGGTCTGGCCTGTGCCGCCTCACTATCTTTGTGCCATACCGTTTATGAAAAGCTGTATTGTAGCTGCGTGTGAATTTGTTGCGATACGCCGACACCAGCCTCTCGAAAGGTTCCCGTACAAAGATGAACTTCAGGTAGGAGCGCAGGCGCTGGTTGATTTCCGAGGTTGAATACTCAGAGAGAGTACGCAGGTTTCCTGGGACGTGGGCCTCGTTGGCCGGGATGGCCAGGGGGTCCGTGATGGACCCAGCTGCGCCTGTCAGTACCATGAGGACCCTCTTCCAATTGGTGCAGGCTACTTTAGGAACGTAGCAGTACAGCAGGCCGTGCTGGTCGTCCACGATGATGTGCTTCAGGTCCTGTGGAATGAGAACTCGGCGTTTGTGTGTGTACGAGTGGCAGGTTTGTTCTAACAGCTCTCGTCGGCCATGATGGATCCCTTGTACTGCCGACTCAACCTGCAGAGAGAAAGGAAAAAAATGTGGTGAAATAAAACCAGAAGAGAGAATAAAGTTTTAATGCTGTGGTTTTTTAAACTTTTATTAAACAACTTATTCATTTCTAAAGCTTTTATCAGTGTCGAGACAATCACATCACAATGACATTCCATGACTACATAAATATAGAGATGAAAAATTAACTTCCCTCCAATTTTCTAAGGGCCCACCCAAGAGCTGCTGACAGCCCCCTCAGAAGGCTGCGCCCTCCACTTTGAAAACCACTGGTCTATATCTTCATACCATGATAAAAATATTTATATCTGAATCAATTCAGACTGCCAACAAATATGGATTGACCACTGTACTTCAAGTACTTGGAATTTACTTACAGTATAAACAAATAAGACCACAGTTATATATTATATATTCACACTCTCTACATTTGGTCCAGAAGGCCTCAATGACATGGGAATAAAGAGTAAATCTGGTGAATAAAAGATAATAAATGAAACTGTCCAAATCCATTTGTTTGATCGATGAATCAAACATCAGCAGAGCGACGTCTCCTTTACCCATGTGATCTGAAGCAGAGGTCTAACTGTGAATACAATATGTCCTGAAGATAAAAACAACTTTGATCGGCACATTATTTTATGGATGTAATAAAACACATTTCGTCCTTTTTTTTAGCCTAGACCCTACAGCTGGAGAATGGTCATCTTTGGAATGGAAACATATTTTTTTCCACACAAACTGGAAACAAAGAAACAGGGAGGAATAACTGCTTAAATAACTCCTTAATATCAGCTTAACCCCAAAACTGAAAACGCGCAGTCAACAATGAGCGTGAACTGACCTGGTCACCATCGTACAGTGTCTGCAGAGGGCTTCTCCTGGACTTCACACTGCTGCTTTCTTCAACAACAGATTCTGCAGATGAGGCAACACAAATGGTCAACGAGTTGAAATTTTACTGTGTACACTATACCAGTAGTACAGGGGTACATTTCTACGATGAACCTGTCTGTAAAATATCACATTAAATACTTCAAATAATATGTCAAATCAGTGTTTATTGGATATTATTTCTCTCATCAAAGCATCTTCCCGATTTGGACTCCTGACATTGGTCTGCACCAAAACATTACTGCAAAACTAAAACATACGTGCAGTATTGCTCCAGTGCAGATGGAGAAGAAGAAGAAGACGACAAATGACTATACAGCTTTATAATAATAATGAAAAGGTTAGTTCATTTTCTTGGAACTCAGCTCACAGAATAGAACCATAAGCTGAGCAACCAGAAGAAAGATGACAGATAAGAGAGACCCCTGACCTCTGACCCCTCCAACCTCTTGCCACGTGGAACCGTTTGACTATTCGCTGTTCAAACATAACTCTAATCAGTGACCAGGATTTTATGAATGTTTCTGCTTTAAAAGATTTATGTTGGAATTCAATTCCTACAACACGACAGAAAGGCTAGGCACTGACATTTTGAAATACAATAAGTCATAGAAAATAACGAACATGTACAATTTCAGTGGTACAGGAGTAGCAGATACTGGTACACAAGCCTAGAGTGACCTCTTGTGGCTGTCAGTGGGAAAATAACAAACGTAAAATTATATATTTTATTATATAAGTCACACCTGAGTATAAGTCGCAAACCCAGGCAAAGGATGAGAAAATGTGCGATTTTTAGCCCAAAAATTTGAATGTATAAGCAGAAGAAGTCAGTTAGAATGTAGCTAGCAAAAATATCTTTTGCCCTCTACTGAGTGTCAAAGACGAGGAAAGCTGTGTTCGTGGGATTGGGATTGTTTTTTTTTTAAACACACCACTGATTCCTTTCAGTATTTGCCCGGAGCTCAAACACTCTCTTCCCAACAGGACCACTCCCACAGCCCACTACTCTCCTGAAAACAACGAGAGTCAGAGAGGACATCTGAAATAATTTAAGAAATGACAAATGTGAAACAGGACAAGTTGACATCAACAAATCACCAAAAATATTTGAACGCTGAAGCTGAACAGCTGGAGTGTGAGAGGTAAAAAGAGCCGTGCCTCAGTTTTTCACATTTGGAGAGGAAACATAGGGACTTGACAGTTTAAGGAACTGCTACAAAAAGACAGACGACGTCTAAAGCTGTGGATTCAAACCATATGCTATTCTGAGTAACACTGTCTCAGCTGTTCGCTCAAATTCCTCCACTGAAGAGATTTGCCAACTCCACCTAAAGACTACTTTTAGGACACACTGGTCCTGTTGCCTTAACCCTGTCTGAATCCAAAAGATCTGCAGCATTCCTTCCTGCTCCTACAGGGCCAATGCCTTAGGAAAATGCAAAGTATAGAAAGGCTGATGTGTGTTCTTTTGGCCCGGCCAATAAACAGACCTCTGTGTTTAGGTCCCAGTGGGAAAACCCAGCGCCCACCTCCCTCCCTTCCTCAATGGCCTCTGCTGCCAAAGAGTAGCTTCACTGAGGGACACACTGTGGAGCGAGAGCCTATGTAAATGTTTCAACTTTGAAGCAGGGCTGAAATTTGACTTCAAATCAAAGTAAATGTTTGAGCCTGTACATTATGAGTCAGCGATGTACTGAATAGTTTGAGGGCTGTTTGAATTATTTTAGTACAGGACCATGACCAGGACCATTTTTTGATTTCTTTCTTTTTGCAAATTTCTTACAATATTTTGTAGTTCAGTTATTTTATGGTACATTGTTTCTCCCCTTATGCTTTGTCTTGAAGAGGTCATAGTCGAACACATTGTTCATTTATTTATTCAAGGACAAAAATTCATTTTCCATCCTTTATTATTAACCTTTTTATTAAGTGATTTCTGGTGTAACTTTTAATTATAAAAATATTACTATTTCTTTGCTCTTGCCCAGACTCCAATTTAGCTAATCCTGAGCTAAAGTGTGCACATTTTCTGTTCTTATAATTTCTCTGGTATTTTGCCTAAATATACATTAATAAATATATAAATGTTTGAAGTGCACTTGAGACCTGGACATTGATTTCTCACTGCAATTTCTGTCCTAGAATAGCAGTAAAAATCTGCAAAGTTGGAAAAAAAAAACAATGAATAGGAGCTGACTCTGGTTACCCGAGGTTGCAAGTTGTGTCCTTTTCTTTACTGGCAGCTTTTTTTTATTGCCTAAATTATCAACTTGGGAAATTGGTTGCCCGTAACGCCTCTGCTAGGGCTTCAAACGTTCCCTGCGTCACATGTCTTATCTCTAGGTTCCAGACAAGGCAAAACCAGGCCGTTTGCAGAGGTGGCCATTTTAGCTCAATCAAAAAGCTGGACCGGATGTTTTTGATAGTAATGACTCATGAGGGAGGAGTCCGTTTGAAGTTTAACAGCTTATGAATTTAAATGTGATGGAAGCCACAGATAATTAATGCAGGATGAAAGTATTCATACAACTGACCACCTCGATGAATGTGGCAGGGAGATTAGAAAAATGTCATCTAGGGATGATATGAACCACATGTCCATATGAGGGGTCTTCTGTCGCGTTGTAAAATCCAGCTGTCGCTAGACACACGTTTAGCGAAGACTTCTGGCCTCGTCATAACTCACAGAAAGTCTCCAAACTCCACCAGTCTTTCACAGAATGAACTCAAGATGGTGACAGGATTGAATCTTCTGCCATTTTTGCACAGAAAGGTTTTAGCCATGGCTTGTTTTATTTTAAATAATCTAGAGCAGACTCCTTCCTTGGTAGAGTTGGTAGAGTTTAGTTTCTGTGCATCTTGACAGGGGCTCGTAGAATGTGTCGAGAGTTGCTTTTAAACCGTCATGCACGAAGGCTAAAATGCTAAAAAAAAGTATAATTTTATATGCCATCTATTGGGCAAACGTGGGCATTGCAGGTAAAAGGCAGAAGTATATTGTTGATATAAATTATATAATAATATTATATTATAAATTTGGAAAAGTTTGGCGGGCTGGATTAAAAAAACTTGAACGGGCTGCAGCCGGCCCCCGGGCCTTAGTTTGCCCATGTTTGGTCTAGCTGTTCTCAACAATATTTATCAGTCTACAGTCAGACATTCGTAGACTGACTTACTGCTGAGATAGGCTAGTCTGAAGCCTCCACTTAGTAAATATTAACATGAACAAATCACCATTTCAATAAAATCATGTCAGAATAATGTTTCTCAGCTAAAACAATATTATATTGTTAAAAAAAAGGGGCTGAAGTTTTCTATATAACATTTTTAACAAGGCAGCAAATTGTGTTGACATGGATTGTTAAGGTTAAGGTCCAGCACATCTGGCCAAAACCACGCAGGTGGTTTTGACAGTGAAGCCATGAAAGCCAGCCAGAAGTGCTGCTCTGCTCTTAGCCAAAGAGAAGTTGTAGAAAAGTCTGTCTACATTCTCCCTTGATTTATAACATCACCAGCCGTTTCAGCCAATCCTTTGGTCTCAGTTAAAAGTTCTAAGTAATTCTCTGCAGTACACGAGGTCAGCTGAACCATCACAGACTGATTTGGATTTGGAAGAACTCGGGCTACGTTTCTACAAAAGTTATTCACAGCTTGACCCTAGACTTCGTAAAGTTGAAATACACAATTGACATGAAGACATATCGAGGAACTTCCATGCATTAGAAACGTTGGAAAAAGCTCTTTTCCCTAAATTCCGTAGGAACAAAAGAAAAAGGAAGCTCTAAACAAGATAGCGTGGGCTGACGTAAATAAAGCTACTGAGGCGAAACTGGAAGTTTATCAAGAAATGGTTATAAATAAGACTATTATATGGACAATAGACTGCTTCAGCTCACACACACTGCACTCACTGACCTCTTCTATATAAAAAGCCTCGCTCCCGTCTCACTGTCCATATTTAACGCCAGGATTTGCAGCCGTGCCTGAATGGGTTCATTTTATGAGGCGGAGTTAGAGATGGAAAGACTGGAGCTACAGTAATTAGTCTGTTAATGGAACTTTCCTGCAAACAACAGCTGAGATCCTGGACCGCACACGGACAACTGTTTACTTTCTCTGGGTGTTCATGGGCGTTTTTGATTGATTGGTTTTACAATCTCACAATGAAGAGACACATAACAATTAAACAGGACTAAGAAGTTAAGTGGGGGTGGGGGTCCCAGCAGGAGTTCCTCATCATGGCATTCCAATGAATTTGATAAGGTTAGAGGATTACAGTAGAGCTGTACGTGCTGTAAACATTATTTTCAGTATCTAACAGCATCGTTTCAGGTCATTTAAAGCAGTGTTTCCCAAACTTTTTTTCTGGGGACCCGTACTTTAAAAGTCGCATCCTTCGCGACCCAAGTCAATGGACATTATTCGTAAACTCCTGGGAAACATGATGCGAGACGACCCACCTGGCGGGCGCGACCCCG